AAATGTATAGGTTAGCCATAAATAATATTTATTAAATAATATTCATTAAATCCTCTTTTTATTATGAAAACATAAAAACACACACAGTCAAATATGTATTTCAAGATAGTCGTTTATTTGTGTGAACTCGTAACAAAGTCGGATGACCTTGATAAAAAATCTTGAATTCTTGAATACAAAGTAGTTTCGGCAATTCAATTGAAAAAGAGTTTTGTTTTACAAATCAATGTAACCATCCCTCAGATATTGCTCGATATCATCACGCAAGCCGCCTGGAGTGTATGGATCACTGGGGTCATTGTAACGTATATATGGAAGACCATCAGCACCAATTATAATGCGCTCCAGGAAAGTCCATCGAACGTCTCGGTTGTTGAACGGTTCCCAAAATAAATATTTGCTGTCGCCAAGCTCATCCACAGGGGAGTGACAGTTACCCTAAACAAATTATACAAAATGAACATATAGTTATTGTAGTAACAGATTACATCTTTATTTCACGAGAGCGAATGTTCATGTCATTCATACAATATTGATAAGTGAGAGTTGTCCTGCCCTCGTGTGTTTACGGAAGCTGATTATTTTCAGAGCCAGGGACTTCTCCTTGGCCGAGGCTGCAAAAGTGCCGTTAATTCCAGTTAACCTACGAGTTAGGATACGATGACAAAGTTGTTATTTTTTTTCCGCAGCACCATTGCGGTTTATACGTTGTCACAACGAACTTGCATAACACCTTTATATAGAAAAAATGGGCCAATGACTGGATTAATGACTGGGCCAATGACTGAGCCAATGACTGGGCCAATGACTGGGGCCAATGACTGGGCCAATGACCACAGTATCGCATACAATACATAAATGTGTCAAATCTAACAAATCACCTGCTTTGCTCAGGGACGTCGTTGGTTTTAATCCAGGATGTTGCTGCTCAAGAAAATGGCTTATTTTTTAAATAGTGAAGGGATGTCCATGGAAAATGATCAAGATTTGCATTTTTGAACTGGTGAAATTATTGCTTCACATCTCAACATTTTATGATGTGATGAAAACTCATATGTAATTATTGTAATTATTTATATAAATTCTAACACATTTCAAAAAGGTAACCGGTGTACCTTAATATATGCCCATGCGTCTGTCTGTGTGGCTCCATTGACATTGACCTTTTCAAATATTTCAAAGTTGGGCACATAACCCCCACCAGGCCTTACTTCTCTTAACCCGTTCAAAATCTCATCATTGCTACCAGGCTCCTTTTTCCCTACAAACAGATCAACATACAGTTACAAATATAACCAAAATGATCAAAATAACATAGGTACGAAATGAACAATAGTTTATTCGAATAATGTATTTTTTTGTATTATTGTTGTTATAATTCCAATACTCACAGAACTCGGTCGTTGGATAAGCTAATATGGTGAAGTTTTGTGATAAAAACTCAGTTTGTAGTTGATTAAATTCGAGGTACTGGTGGTTTAAATCTGTGGAAGAAGAGGAAAACGAAGAAATTTAGTTCAATGTAACATAAGTTGTCTGTACAAAAGTCAATGCAATCTAACCACATGGTCTTGAAATCAATGTCGTCATTGTGACAAGTAGTTGGTAGTAATTTTAAAAAAAAGTCTTGAAATTCACTGTTATACAGAGTGCAGCAGTTAGGAACCATGTACAATATATTGCGGCTTGTGCCATTGATGACATCTGAATATAAAAAAGTGTTTGATGAAGGGTAAATGAGTTAAGAGACAAGTATTTACCATCGTACGTTGCAACAGGAATTACCAACAGGGTCCAGCCAATATACTGGTCGAACGTAACCGGTTCACCTGTATGAAGACTAACTGCGCCATAAGAGTGAAAAGTCTTGGCAGGGTCCACTATTTCGCAGTATTTTTTAGTCCCATGTGTAACAGCTACAAGTGTTAGGAGAACAAAGGCTCCCAATCGAAATAACATGATGGTCTAAACACTAATAGAACAAGTATGCTTTTAATCTAGTCTGCACAATCTATTTATTGTATTTATCACGAAATTTGACATATTTTCCATCAAGATACTTTTGAAAATTTAGATATTATTTCTTATAACAGGTGTATGTTTCCCATACATCACTGGTGATGTGGCGAGTCAAAGACAGGTTACCGAGGCACGTGATTCAGATACCAAATGTGTGACGTTTGTGAATTAAACCATTTGCTGCAACATTTACATCTATATACATGACGTTCATTTATCCAGTTATGAAACAATAAGACAAAGCTCACAATCATGGAAATTATCGTACTCAGAGTTTACCTATCTGTATATTCCGTCTCATTGTATAAAGTTGGGAATGAAATAAAGACAAAATAAGACTATGTCATGTAGATGGGAAAAAAATGCATCAAAATCCAAATCCAAATGTTAAGCCTCACAGAAAAGGCCTTTTCTAATATATTTGACAGTGCACATATTCTGCATGCTGACCGGCAACCATTATTGTGGTGATCACGTGCAAAGATGAGGTGATGCAGTGGGTACAACATACAGTTGTTATGCAGCGGTTGGACCAATTATCCAATGATGCAATGGGTATATATCATGTTGTGTTTAGCCCTTTGAACGTGTCAACACAATGGTAAGTATTTGAGAACAACAAACGTACGCCAGAACTCAACTGACATGACCTTAACGTCAACTACTGATAGAGGGCGCTCTATCAAATTACCGATATGCTAGCCTATAAGGCTATAACAATAAGTTATTATGTGAACAGTAGACCTTTTAAATGTCACAGTGGTAGACAAATTACACAATCACAATTGTTACACAATGCAGTAGATAAACCTCAAAATTGTCACGTGTTGCAATATGTAGATAATTCAATTGTCACGTGATACAGTGGGTAGACCACTAAATTTTCACGTGAATCGAGAACATTTTACTTAGTTATTTTACCACTCGCCAGATAACAAGTTTAGCACGTCGTTGAAGTGACTGGAATGATTTTCTCACGTACCCCGTCATCTTACGTCTGTACATATTGAATGTGTATAATGCCAAACGTATTATTGCACATGTAATACCCACATACACATTTTTCCCCAATGTCACGTGACTGAGTTTTAACCGATTGCATCATGTTTGACTATCAGTAAATAAAACTGTTCATCACGAGGTGCTGTCATCTTGTAAGTTAAAACTTTAAAGATTGTTGTAATACTCAAAAAACAGGATAGCGATTCGTACAACTAGGGACCTGCGATCTCATTTTTTATTACAATTTAAGATATAAGCTTATTAATTTTGAAACAATTAACCCAAATATTTCACTGATCAAATCTGCTCGCCTGTAAATATCCACATCTTGTGCTTTATAGCATTCAAAATATCTTTAAAGTTTCTGAACACCAATTGTATTTTAGTGGAAGAACCTTGGAATTGAGAGAATGCACTTATTTATTTTGTTCCGTTGAGATCATTTCAAGCAAATGGATCATAATAATATTGACTCTGAGATTTCTTCCATTTTGCTTGTTAGTTGTATGTTATGGTGTAAGGATACTTAAAAGATAGATTTGTTTTATAAATCCATGGCAACCCCAACAATGAACATGGTGTATTTTTTATCAAAATGTGAACCGATTTTGTTTACAGTAACATATTATATAAAGTGTACCATGTTCAAACCTCAACACATAGAGCAATATTATGGTTACGTCTTTAGTTGTTTTGTAATAGGAAAATGATCTGATTACCTATAATTTAAAGGAATGTTTAAAAAATCTGCACCACATGACATGGTGAATACACCACATGACATGGTGAATAAACCACATGACATCGTGAATACACTACATGACATCGTGAATACACTACATGACATGGAGAATGAATACACACTGTTACAATGGTGAA